GTGCAGCGCGAAAGAACAGACCTCTTGTTCGAGTGGAGTTTATGATATAGGCTGTGTTCCAAAATTACTGACAGCGCTAAAAATCTATAATATACGTAACATGAACTATAGCTTTTCAGCGCTAGAAGTGAATATTGGAACATAGCCATATTATTGAGGAGTAATGGCGTAGAGCCGCTGAATGTCAAGCGAGCTCAACCATTCTATTGAAAACTATTTTCTCGAAATTTATTCTCGAAAAATAAATTCTCTCATTGGACCATCAGCTGCGTTCCGACATCCAACTCCGACATACGGCGTATTGTGTTTCGGGCCTAATGGCTTTCGCAGCCAACGCAATGCGCAACGCAACACTCGATATGCGACGAGCGATATCCAATCAGTGTACTGGTATTCCGATAAAACTGTATGCTCATTGGATGTCGCGTGTCGCAAATCACGTCGCGCATCGCGCTGGTCTGCGAGAACCAAAAGTCCTACTACTTCAGTTATTTTGTATGCCATGGCCTTTACTGTTACAGAAAATGTGTGTGGTGAGCATTAGGTCTGTTCTTTTTAGCTACACTGGTGAACGAGTGCAATAAGTTGAAGTGAGACAAACATACTTTCTTTCATTCTAACTTATTGCATTAGTTTAGCAGTGCACCTAAAAAGAACAGCTTATTTATTCTTTTATTGATACGTTCGATATTCACTGTATCGATACTTCACGGTCGATATATTTGGTGTATCGATATTTTGTTCTGATATGTATCGATACGATATATCGAATTTTCTTATCGATACAACATCCCTACCATAGAAAAGCTGCGCAACCACGTCTACCGATCCGATAGTTGTCGATAAGCGTGTACGGAATAGTACCTCTGTGCTGGGATTATGTAACTCGCTATTGGAGTTAACGACAGTTTCGTTATCGTTGCGCAGCTTTTGTATATCGTAGAAAAGCTGTACAATGATAACGAAATTGTCGTTAACTCCAATAACGAATTACAGAATCCCAGTACAAGTAGTATATATTTCAATGAGTCTAAGGCTAACTCTAAGGTTGGTTTATGATGGCCGTAATTCTTTAATTTATGCCGGAACCGTAAAAATTGACCAATCATAGTCGATTATTCTTCTATAATTCAATTATGATTGGTCAATTTTTTACGGTTCCGGCATAAGTTAACGGATTACGGCCATCATAAACCAGCCTTTAGTCATGGTTGGATGGAACAAATTAAAGTGAGACAAATATATTTTGTTTCACTCTATTTATTGTAACAGTGCACCAATTTAGGCAGTTCAACTAAAAAGAACAGACTTAGTTCGTTGCCGCCACAATTTGCAGTAATATCAGCTACGTGTCTGTATTTATTCACACAAAATTATTTTCAATTTACGCACAAGTGTTGTTTCTTTTTGAGCTATTTATACAATCCAGTAAACGTACACATATCTCTCAATATGGATAATTCAGAAAACGGTGAATCAAATATAAGCGAGCCAAGTGAAAATCGCATCGATAATGGAGAAAGTACGCAAGAGTTGCAGGAAGAAACCGAAAATGCTTTACACGGCGATGAGGAACAGCGAGAAAAATTATTACAACTGCCTCTGGGAAGAATTAAAACAATTATCAAAACAGACCCGGAAGTTCACTTGATTAATCAAGAAGCCGTGTTCCTGATAGCAAAATCAACGGTGAATGATATTGAGGCTGCATTGCAAAATGTCCTGTTTGATGAAAACTTTACTGAAAATCTCACGTTTAATCTCTCTTTACGCGTTACATATACTACGGATTTTCAATAAACTTTTCCTTCAAATAGGACTTTGGAATGCAATCCAAATAGCTAATTAATTTTAATAGGTTATAATAAATTATACTAACTATACTAACTATTGATTGCTTCAACAGGAACTTTTTATTGACTCGCTTGTGAAGGAAGCTTATAAGTATACCATGCAAGCAAAGAAAAGAACTGTTCAAAAACGTGATGTAGAAACTGCAATTGACAAAGTTGATGCGCTTGTATTTTTAGAAGGTACAATGGATTAATTATATAATATACTTAATATTTGTTATCATAAAATTTCAATAAATTATTTTAAGATTATTGTATTGTATTATACAGTATATGATAGAATGTATAAATAATTCTATATGAAAATAATAGGCATAAAATTGGTAATATTTGAGTCAAAAGAATTAAGTTTTGTCACTCAAAGATAATACAAAAATATTTCTACAATTAAAATATGCTTAAAAATATAGAATAAGTATATCTATAAGAAAAGAATGTGTATTTCTTTTTATACTGTAATATATAAATTTGTTTTCTATTGCACTTTTATTTATTTAACAAATCTTGTGGGATATATTTTGAGAATAATATACCTTAATTTCTGCTATTTAAGGTTTACATATATGTGTGTGTGTGTGCATATATATATCATGATCTATATTCTCTTGTTTTAAATTCATTTATTACACTTTCCATCGGTACACATCTTAAATTGGTTTACATATGTAAAGTATTATGTAGTTCACAACGCTTTGCAAAAGAAAAGTTAATGTAGCAAGTTACATATTAGATGTTAAAACTTATAAAAAGTGTCTATATTAATGTACACATACACAATATTAATCATTGATAAAGTAGTAAGATGATATTAGCTATATTAACATAGCTACTCAATTTTACTTTTCTTATTCTTGCTGCACTATGAGGTTATTTGTATGTGTGTATATATATATATATATATATATATATATACACACATATATATGCGCATGCACATATGTATGAGACTTTAGTTATTATAATTCACATGTTATTCCTGCTAATAATGAATACTAATTTTTTCTTTTCTATACAATTGACTGTGCAGCTTTTGTGTAATGTAACATCGTATACATACATAATATTTTCTCCATTTTAGAGTTTTGTATTACATAAGAGAAACATACATATATAAATATTAAGAGAGTGGGATTTGCAGACTAATTTCAAGCTAAAGAATTCAAACTATTTTCACACATAGCAGGAGCATATCATTAAAATTTCTCTAACTAATATATAGTATATAACTTATAAGTAACAGAGAATGAGAGAAAATATCAGTCTTCTTCCGTATTTGCCAATTCTTTCCAGTTCAGAACCGCAAGATGCATAATTGTTTAAAAATTAAATACACAATGAAATCTCTATAATTTTAATAATAAATATAACCTAATCGTCCATTCTGTTATCTTTTATTTTGGAAGAACACACGCATAAAATTACAACATAACATTGTACCAGGAAGATACAAACTTTTTTATATATATATATATATCAGAACTTCTATGTTCAAATATAGCTCTGCGATATAATCCAAATCAAGTTGCTTCTATAATCGTTATTTGGCATCTTCAATTATCGTTTTATAACCCGAAAAATTAAACGTCTTTATTATGTTAAACTGGCAAAATATACTGACTGACGTATATTATTATCCTGAACATGAATAGTTTGTTAACAGGATATTTGTCACTGCGTGTTATTACTATGATACACCCCTATAATTCCCGAGCTTCGTGATGTTGCGCATTATGATTTAATTTAATGTAATGATTTCTACACGCCATTCGCCTTGAACACAATTTCTCGTAATCTCATATCGCGTATTAGCCGCACATCGCTGCGTATTCGTAATATATACCTATATTCTAAAGTCAATTGCTCAAGGATAATGTAAATTTCAGAAACTGTATAATATATGTATTACTTCGTGTAATGATACAATATTGATACCGAACGCTCAATTGTTCATCGTTACACCACTTTCTGTCTACTTCTTACGCTTGGTCTTACGTCGTCTACAATCTCCTCTAAAAGAGTTTTGCTCCCCTGATGTATTAGCACCGCCAGATTTGCTATGGTTGTAGAGATTGTTCAGAAAGTCTTCGATATCTGCTTCGCTGTTTCGTGGACAAATAAATTATTACTTACTTAAATATATGACCGAAAAATGATAATAGAAAATCAATAGACACATACGAGCGAATTGCTTTGGCGAATTTATGTAGTTTTGAATCAAGTCGTTGATCAAATCAGCTAAAAAATCGACTCACACATTTAAGCTAGTCATGTAAATATAGCATACCTTGTATTTGGATCTATTTGCTGCCGCTTTTTACCGCTACTGGATGTTTGAGATGGTAATCTCTGCCCTAAGACGATTCTATACTGGACGCTATGCGTGTTTGCTCTAAGATGTTTGAGATTTCCGGCCTGGCAAGCCGCCCATTCAGTCACGTCATACACCGCCCCTTCCATGCACGCATAATAGTGCCATCGAAAACCCATTAAACGAGACTCTGCCCAGATATCTCCCTACGGATAGTTTAAACGATTCAGTTTGAAACAACAGATAAAGTTCTTATAAAACAAAAAGTCGGTGCGATATTTACTTCTTTCGCGCCGTGACGTATTTTACATTGGGTGCAAAACCGTGCGGCATAACAAGGACGTTGCGTAGGAATACGTTTGTGTCTTGAGCCACAATTTGTACATCTTATAGTATTTGCCGCCTGTTCCATCTTCCGATGAAGCTGAGACAGCAAATCACTGAGTTCGCCCCAAGCTGCTTCAACTTGCCTAGTTTGATCAAACGCTTGTCTTCGTTCCTAAAATAGGACGCATCACAAATAAAAGTGTGTGTGTGTATATATATATATATATATATATTATGTGTGTTATAAATTTACGATTCCAAATAAAGGATTGTCACTGATCCTTGATATATAGAACACTTTCTCTTATATTGTTATAAAAAAATTATGAATAAATAAGATGCTTTATTACCGGTTCTCCGATGATATCGAAGGCATGTACTAAAATTTTGAACGCCTCTTCAGCCCCTGGTTGATTATTTTTATCCGGATGAACTAAGAAAGCTTGTCTTTTATAATATTTCTTGATATCATCATCCGAACACGTTGGTGTAACGCCAAGTATGCTATACGGGTCCTTTCCTTTACAAGCTAGTAATCTTTTCATAGCTTCTTCGCCAGTACTAGGTAATGAAATATTGGTTTCCAGTCCGCCGTGAATCCAGTTGCCACTGTCCTCTTTTTCTTCACTTTTAGTGTTTATCTTTCGCCAAAACGCAAACTTGCTACTTCCAAACCAGTTATCTAATTGTTTGCCGATAGCATTTAGAACGCGAATTTTACAAAATGTTACAACCACATACATCCACCAACCTTTCAAGTAAAGTATGCTATGGTACCAAGCCCATTTGCCACTGAAAACACGTATTGAAAGATAGAAAATTGTTTCCAAATGATATTTACATATGGGCGCAAGATCAGTTTCTCTATGTATAAAATGTTAGTTTATTAATTAATACTTACAGCTGTACGACGAGATTAGCACTCATGCTAACGACATCAGAAATAAGATGCAACAGCCAATAAAAGATTTTCAATATAACTTTGCTCCAACGTGTTGCATATTTATTTAAATTCTTACATAAATCCTTGACAGGAGATTCTCTATTTTCTCTTCTTCTGTTTCTTTGTCCTTTCTTAATTTGCTGTGTCTTCTCAGCCTGATAGCGTTTAGGATTTTTCTCCTTGATCACTTTCTTATCTTCTTTACTGAACTTATTGATAACTTGCTGATTTTTCTCGATTTTCTCCGGAGAAACCGTCTGACTGGAAGTATTAATTGTACTTAGGTTGTTGTTTATCTGTATCGGACGTTTCGGAATATTTCCAGCAGTTTTTGGATTACTGTTTTGTATTTTGGTATTGTTAAGAGTCTCATTCTTTTCCCCTTTTTTAGACAGTTTGACAGTTTTTTTCTTCTCAAAGTGATCAGATCTGTCGAAAGTATTTATCTGACGAGAATCGGACTGCGAGCCGAGATTGTCCAACGACACCCAACGTCTTGGAAGATTGGAAGAATTTTTTTCCAAAACTTTCCTGGGGATCTGTATCTTCGGGGAGTTGTGATCGTCGCTGCCGGATGAATTCTGCCGCTTTAATAGCGCTGGTTTGTTCTTGCTCTTGGAGCTCTTATTGGAGACCTTCTTGCCGGTCGTCTCAATTTTCGGCTTCATAGACTGAACTGTTAATGGTGACGGCGGAGTTGGTGCAGATTTGGTCAAAACGTCCGAGTAAGACGGTCGCATAGGTTTCACTTCTGCCACCATCCTTGGTTTCTTGTATTGAGAGTCCGACATGCTTCTAGGTAGTTCTTCATTCTCTCTCATATCGGGAACAGATTGCGGTACAGGCGTGATATTAGGAGAACCACCGAACGGACTATATGTTCCGGACTGATTTGGCACCCAGTTCCCAACTAGATTATCGATCAGTTGTTTGCCATTAAAGTTTTGACTCGGCAATTCCGACGGCACAGACATATGTTGGTCATTAAACAGACCGTACTCCTGATTAACCATGCTCTGATTGGCATAAGGTGCCATGTTTGACAGTTGACACTGCTCAGCCATAATTTGAGAAGCATTCCCATAAATAACATTGATATAATTTCCACCTCCGACATCAATGGTGCCAATGAGATCATTGTTTTCATTAATGCCTAAGTTTACCGTCTGATTTACTGTCTGTGGTGGAAAATATATTGAATCCGTGGTTGGAGAATCGTAACCTGGCATATCTGACATGTACAGAGAAGTGGTCATTGGAGTCATTGGCTGCATCCCCGATGGATTGGAATGCGTCGGTTGGCTGGTTGTAATGTGATGCCTAGTCTGGCCAGAAGCGTAATCGCCCCAATTGTGAGAGGTTGCTTGCTGCGGAGTGATGCCAAATTGGACGTAAGGACTACTTGAACTCTCCAGCTCTGCGGTCATAGCTTCGATTATTTTATCCAAGGACATATGTTTAATACCAGGAGGTGATTGCTGCTGCTCTGCCATGTTGATCAGTGTTCTAAAGAGAAGTCATAAAACAGACATGTTATTAGTCTGCTTCAGTACAGATGACAAATGTCAAAATCACTTAACAAAACAGTAAGGAATATGATGCTGTACTTTTAGAAACTTTATATCAAAAAGTAAATGGTGCATTAATGCATAATACAAAGATTAGTATTGGAGCACAGTAGCTCAACCAAATGGATAAATAACGGATATTGAAGAAGAATACGAATGCCATCCAATGATTTTTGTCTCGCACAATAACACAGGTAGAATGTCAGTCATATATTTTAAAAATGTCTGCTACTGTATTATTCACATAACCATAGCTGTGTCGAGAATGTTAAGTAATGACCGCCATTAATATGCAACTTGAGAATATGCGGTAACACGGGCATAGCTGCCTCACATTGGCCGAGGCAGATTCATATTAAATAACCGCTGTCGAGAGGAATTTCGTTTAAAACCTATAACCTAAAATGAACAGAGTGTCAGTAGACATAAGGACACAGAACTCACATTCACCAATGAGTTAATCTCTTTCACGTTGCTACCTCATATTCTTCATTTAGCACACTCTGCGTTAATAACAAAAGTTCATATTTATGTGAAATACATCACTTTACTTTATATACCATGTGGTAAGCGTAGAACCAGACACATTCGCACTCGTTGATACTTTGTCCGCAATTCGCACAGAATAATCAACAATCATGATGCACGAATAACATCAGAAGGGCTGCGTGCGGAACGAAAATCCTAAATAGTATAATCGACTAGCAAGTGTTTGGTGAATTAAAGGTTAAGTTCATCTTGCACGCTTCCGTGCTAAAAGCATCATCCTTGGTCTGTTCTTTTCAGCTGCACTGCTGAACTGGTGCAATAAGTTAAAGTGAGACAAGTATATTTTTTCTTACTTTAACTTATTGCACCAGTTCAGCAGTGCAGCTGAAAAGAACAGACTACCTCCTATCTATAGGTCTGTTCCTTTTCATTGAACTAATGGCTTGGTTTACGTCGTACACTTGATAGGCGTACTAAATAGTAACTTTCTATTGGATAATCTTATGTCTTCTGCACACAGGATGCGGTAATGCTTGCCGCGCGGTAGAAGTTCGCGCGACAGCCAATCAATATGCTGCTTTCCGTAATAACCTTCTAGCTTTTACGGAAAAACAACATATTATTGATTGGCTATAGAACCATAGAAGGAGGAGGGCATAACTAGGTGACGGCGGGACGCCATGCGTTCGAGATCTGCGTATCTTTTTGTTCCAGAAGGAGAAAAATATCGAGAGCGCGGTTCTGCTAGACCAGGACTCGAACCCGGGTCTTTCGCTTGCCGGGCGACTGCTCTAAACCACTGAGCTACCTGACGCTCCACGCTCACGACACTCTCCTCTCCCCAGATAACGCTCAGAGATGCCGTTCGGAAGCGACATCTCTGGCGCGATTCCGAGCGCACGGCGACTACAGAGAGAAACAATGTTACTGTACCAAATGGTACAGTCAGTGGAACTGTCAGTTCACCAAATGGAACCAAATGGAACCAAATGAAGTTGTCAGTCTCTCAAAGTCAAAAGTTGCTATCCTTTAAGACCTGCTGTCCATGTATGCCCATCCCCACCGTTGCCCCTCCTCATACGGTGCAAAAAATACAAATAAGCCCCGGGGTCGACACCAATTTTTTGGCGGACTTCCGTCGCGCGGCAAGCATTACCGCGTCCTGTGTGCAGGAGACATAAGAAGATTATCTAATAGAAAGTTACTATTTGATACGCGTATCAAGTGCACGATATAAACCAAGCCTTAAGATATCATCTAATGGCTTATAGCGAATTCGGTAGCTTGCACTAGTGCGCACTGAGTTCGCATTAAGGCTTGTTTACAGTACATTCTTATATTTAAAATCGTGTCTTAAATACATATTTAAAAACATTTTAACTAATAAAATGATTCGTACGGATGTTATACATATCATATTATGGTTAAAAATATTTGAGAATTTATTTGAGAATTATTTAAGACAATCTTTAAATATAATAACATACTATGAACAAGCCTTAGTGCGCACTCAGTGCACACTAGTGCAAGCAACCGAATTCGCTATTAGTTTACATCGTGCACTTGATACGCGTATTAAATAGTAACTTTCTATTAGATAATTTTAATATCGTCAATACATATCAACAGCGACGCATTCTATCAATACAATACGTTTTGTTGATGAGTATTATACCAGCTTAATATACCGTTGTTTATATATATCGTCGATATTAAGATTATCTAATAGAAAGTTACTATATAGTACGCGTATCAAGTGCACGATGTAAACCAAGCCAATATCGACAATTCATATCAACGGCGACGCATTCAATCATTACAATACATTTTGTTGATGAATATTATACCAGCTTAATATATCGTTGTTTCCCACATAGCACGTAATATTACAGTAATATCACAGTAATATTACAGTTCCATTGCAATATTACAATGAAATGTAGCAGAAATATTAGTGTAATATTACTGAGATATCACAGTAATATTACAGTTCCATTGCAATATTACAATGAAATGTAGCAGAAATATTAGTGTAATATTACTGAGATATCACAGTAATATTACAGTTCCATTGCAATATTACAATGAAATGTAGCAGAAATATTAGTGTAATATTACTGAGATATCACAGTAATATTACAGTTCCATTGCAATATTACAATGAAATGTAGCAGAAATATTAGTGTAATATTACTGAGATATCACAGTAATATTATAATGTCCGCGAAAACGCATCACAATAATATTACTGTAATATACCCTTATAGAAATATCATACTAAGAATCATTGATAATTACTTATTTTCAGTATTAAAAATACTGGATAATAAGTAATTATCAATGATTCTTAGTATGATATTTCTATAAGGGTAGTAAATAATATTTTTTAAAAGTTTCTCTCAAAATTTAGTAATTCGATTTGTTTAATTTGGATTTTCTTGGATTTTTTAATTTTCTTTTGTTGGATTAATCATTATAACATTTTGTTCAAAATGTAAAAGTAATTATCACTGGTTCACTACATTACATCAATATTCATCGCATATCGAATGTTGTATTGTTTCTATCTATCAACAAATCTATATCTATCAAAAAATTATCCAATAAACAACAAGTAAAAATTATGTAACTATTATTTGATGTTTGCTAGATATGTTATAATATACTGTGAACAATATAAGGATACATTATATAAGCATGAATTGTAAGAGCATCGTTGGAGTCATCAGAGTCACCGCGTGCGCGCTCGATCGTCAGGTTAAGCAACAGTTTAATGCGGTCAGGACATGGATGGGGGAGGGATGGTGACCAGCGGGTGTATATATATACCGCTTGGGATCGAAATTATCGCAGGAGGATTCATGAAAGTTTGGAATGTATTTGACAACCTTGGATATCTAGTAGTTTATGAGACATGAGAAAATTAGGAATATAAGTATATTTTTGTAAACATTATGATTTCCTCATTTTTCACCTTTGCATAATAATTCTCAGTATTCATTTTATTATCAGTATTCACCAGAAATTAAGTACTGGCCAAAAAATTACTGAATTACTATTAAATTAATATTTAATCACTAATAATTTTTCAGTATTTTTTAGTATGATATTTCTATAAGGGATCCTCTAATAACTGACCATGTTCCATGTACTAAATCGATTTCAATTAATGATATTTTTTATATTATTTGATATTATTATTAGACTGCCTCCCCCTCTCTCTCTCTCTCTCTCTCTCTCTCTCTCTCTCTCACACACACACAATTTTTATAAAGATAATATTGATATATTACTAATTGGGATCCGACGTCGGACATACGATGATCCAATAGCTAATAGGAAAATTTATTTTCTAGGGACAGTACATCACTAGCTAGTAACCTTAAAAAGTGCAATCTTGATGCATCCATAGGTTTGTTCGAGTTAAGCCCGTATCAGATTACGGATTAAGATTGAAATTGAATTGAAAATTGGCCAATCAGAGCAAACTTCACCAAACTTAATCTTAGTGAATTTTGTTCTAATTGGCAAAATTTCAATTCAATTCAATCCTAATCTATAGTCTGATACGGGTTTTACTTGTACTATTCACACTTTTACACCTAATGCCCGTTGCACACTAGTGTACCTCATACAACACAAATTTTCCAAATTTTCCAAAATACGTTCTGAAGATGCTTTGAAGAACGAAGGGATGTCATCAGAATATTTTTAGGACGTCCTTTGAAGATATGAGTTGTCTGAAAATAGCTAATATTCAATAAGTTTATTCGTATTAATTGAATTTTTTACACTTTCACACTTAGTGCACATTAATTCTTTAGAGGTTCTAAACATGACGTCATGATTTCCGTTCGTGTTAAGCCCGTATCAGACTATAGATTAGGATTGAGATTGAATTGAAAATTGGCCAATCAGAGCAAAGTTCACCAAACTTGAGCTTAGTGAATTTTGCTCTGATTGGCTAAATTTCAATTTAATCTCAATTCTAATCTATAGTTTGATACGGGCTTTACGAGTGTAAATGCAATTCTAATACACTTTTTACACTTGATCCCAAGCAAGAGTGAAAAGTGTATCAGAATTGCATTTACACTCGTAACACGAATGGAAAACATGACACCATTTTTAGAACCTCTAAAGAATTAGGGCTATCGCACACAAATTGACATAACTGCATATGCATAGCATAAGATCGTATGGACCAATGAGCATCGAATATTAAGCATCGAACACCAATATGGCGACTTAATACTCGATGCTCATTGGTACATACGGTCTTATGCTATGCATATGCAGTTATGTCAATTTGTGTGCGATAGCCCTTAGTGTGCACTAAGTGTGAAAGTGTAAAAAGTTCAATTAATACGAATAAACTTATTAGATATTAGCTATTTTCAGACAATTCACACCTTCAAAGAACGTCCTAAGAATACTCTGATGACGTCCCTCTGCCCTGAAAATGTCTTCAGAATGTATTTTGGAAAATTTGTGTTGTTTGAGGTGCACTAGTGTCCAACGAGCATTAGGGCTATCGCACACAAATGACATAACTGCATATGCATAGCATAAGATCGTATGGACCAATGAGCATCGAATATTAAGCATCGAACACAAATATGGCGACTTAATACTCGATGCTCATTGGTACATACGGTTTTATGCTATGCATATGCAGTTATGTCAATTTGTGTGCGATAGCCCTTAGATGTAAAAGTATGAAAAGTACAAGCAACTCGAACAAACCTTATGAGGTGCATTCAGTTTAGAGATGTCCGATTTTTAATCGATTCGATTCTTTCCCTAACAATTTAGGGAAAAAAGGTTGTTCGTGTTGCTTGCATGTTTCATACTTTTCGCTTTTAAAAAGAGATGGACGCCTAATCAGACGCTTGGAAGAAACAATCGAGTTAGTTATCTTGCTTTTGCTTCTTCCAAACATTCCAATATACTTTTGTCTGGTTTTAAATACGAAAAGTGCGAAGAATGCAAACAACACGAATAAGCCTATTTTTGGGGAAAGAATCGAATTGATTCAGAATCGGGCATCTCTAATTCAGCTATATCTGTTGCAAATAAAAGAACGCAACCTACGGTTCGACGATACGATAAGTGATTGGTCAATTCTTACGGTACGTCTTACGTTATGCAGAATTCACACCGCGTCCAATGTCCGATAGACGTCGTCCGATATCCAATAGGAGAACAGCTTTCTAATAGAGGATTCAATTCTCCATTGGAAAGCTATTCTTTTATTGGATATTGTACGTCGTACGTCGGACATCGGACGCGGTGTGAATCCTGCATTACTGTTATATCAATTGTGTGCGGCGCCCCTTAAGGCCGGTTTATGATGGCCGTAATCCGTTACTTATGCCAGAACCATAAAAAATTGACCAATCACAGTCGATTGTTCTCCTATAATTCGATTATGATTGGTCCATTTTTTACGGCATAAGTTAACAGTTTACAGCCATCATAAACCAGTCTTTAGTCTGTGATTCAAACTCCGCTTTGCGTGCATGTGCATTGCGCAGTCGGTTCGCGCATCCTCCACTTGACGAGATCACGGACCCTGTTTCGGCCGTTTCTCTTCACTCGATCGGCCATGATCCTGAGCGCCGTGTCAAAAGCAGTCGCTGGGGCCTTGAGGGCTTCTAAGCCGTCCCTTCTACAAAATGAAGTGGCGAAGGTGTCGGGCGTCCTTACTGTCAATAGTGAGTATACGTTTCGCAATTAAATATTGCAGAAAACCAGCCAACATATAACGAATAACCCGTACATTTGTTTATCGTCTCAATATGCCCTTTACCTCGACGAAGGTACTCTCCGAGAAGTTAGAAGATTTAAACTTGACATTCGCTCTCGACTACGAGTGTCTCGAGATTTAAGTCCAAATTACTAGACTTTATAAAACCATTCATTAATGATTATATAATAGCTGATCGATCGCCGCAGGTTCGACTCGCCAACATGGCGGTGCGAGGACACGTTCGTTCATTGCGCCTGATCTGGTTATCTTACGTAGTCACGGATATAACCACGGGTGTTTTTTGTGCTGTTTTCCATTTATGTGAAGATAAACGAAGAATACTTTATTATGTAAAATTTCCAATCTCAATTTATTTGTTGCGTGATTACAATTTCACAGAGGTTGATTGTATTTTCATTCCTCTTTCTGCTGTATTCTACTATTTGAGTAATTTGTAGTTGAGAATGATTCAAAGTGATGATACAAGTTATATAGTTATTCTAACCAAGTTTTAGGAAGACTAATAGACTGATTTATCACAATAGTTATACATATATTTTTATGTTATGTAATGTATTTTACAAACTTTGCCACTTAGTTCTAGCAAAGATACTTGAATGTTTCAAAACTTTTTAACTTTTTAATAGAGATAAAGAGATACTTAGTTTACATATTTCATTATATATCCAAAGTTTTTCTTATTAATTTCAAAATATAGGAAGGGATTACGTAGCCAAAGCTGCGGCTGCATCTAAGAGTGGTACGCAAGGAAAGGTAGTTGCTGTTATTGGTGCTGTTGTTGATGTACAGTTTGAAGATGCTCTCCCACCTATCCTTAATGCGTTGGAGGTGCAAAACCGTACTCCTAGGCTGGTACTTGAAGTTGCCCAGCATCTTGGAGAGAATACAGTGCGCACCATTGCTATGGATGGTAATATTTTTCAAATATCACGAAATATATGTTTTGCAATTAATATATGGCATCTAATAAATCTTTTATTGATTAAATTGCTAATGAAATATTTAGCTTTATTATCTTCAAATTTGAAATATTTTAACATTAATTGACTGTAAGTTTTTATGCAAGAATGATTCAACTCACATGGAAATTGTTTCGAAAAATATGAAGACAAAAATTTTTAAAGTATAGATAGTACTAAGATTCTTTGCAAGAGGTAAAGCATGATAAATTTTCTTCTTTTGAAGAATATTCATTGACAAGCTTAACTCTTAAAAAAATAGGTACATAAGATGCAAGTAATAAAAAATGGCTTAACTAATAGAAAATAAAAACTTTTTTAATTAATTTTAGACACTCATAAGGCTTTTTTAATTTTATATAAAAAAATGGATAGACTACCTATTGATAACAAAAACTTAAAAACTATAATTTTGTAGGTTGGTCATTCTTGGATAACTATTACCAATTTATCCTTGCATTCAGCTATATAATTGCATACAATGGTTTCAATAAAACTGGAGTCTGTTGCAGATTTGATATAACAAAGATATTATTACTGTAGGTACTGAAGGTTTGGTACGTGGCCAAAGTGTCTTGGACTCTGGATATCCCATTCGTATTCCTGTGGGTGCTGAAACCTTGGGTCGCATCATCAACGTCATTGGTGAACCGATTGACGAGCGTGGACCCATCCCAACTGACAAACTGGCGCCTATTCATGCGGACGCTCCCGAATTCGTAGAGATGTCGGTCGAGCAAGAGATCTTAGTTACAGGCATTAAAGTCGTGGATCTTCTGGCACCTTACGCCAAGGGTGGAAAGATCGGTAATATTCCCTTACCGCAAAAGTAGAAAAAAATATTGGTATGAAAAATAGAAAAAAGTGTATTGTCATTCATAAATTACTGAAGAGAATCGCTTCGTTATTATCCGCTAGGTCTCTTCGGTGGTGCTGGAGTCGGTAAAACCGTACTTATCATGGAACTGATTAACAACGTAGCCAAAGCTCACGGTGGTTACTCTGTGTTCGCTGGTGTAGGTGAAAGAACGCGTGAGGGCAACGATTTGTATCATGAAATGATCGAGTCCGGTGTCATTTCTCTCAAGGACAAAACATCCAAGGTAGCGTTGGTCTACGGACAAATGAATGAGCCGCCAGGCGCTCGCGCCCGAGTGGCCCTTACTGGACTCACTGTCGCAGAGTATTTCCGAGATCAGGAAGGTCAGGATGTACTATTGTTCATCGATAACATCTTCAGATTTACCCAGGCTGGTTCTGAGGTACTTAATAAATTTATTACATGAAAGTGTAAGTTTTGTAATCTAACACATACATCAGTTAATATATAATCTGCATTAAATTAATTGATGTAATTTTATATTTGTTCTTATATATTGTACACGCACGTACAAATATAAAAATTTCACTGTGATATGTTCCAGGTGTCCGCTTTGCTGGGTCGTATCCCATCCGCCGTAGGTTACCAACCGACGTTAGCCACTGATATGGGTACTATGCAGGAACGTATTACTACGACAAAGAAGGGATCTATTACTTCCGTGCAAGCCATCTACGTGCCTGCTGACGATTTGACAGATCCCGCCCCTGCCACTACCTTTGCTCACTTGGACGCCACCACCGTATTGTCTCGTGCCATTGCCGAGCTTGGTACGTATTCATCCAAGGATTACATCCATTTCATCGTGATGTGTCTGAGATCTTTGATTACGGATTGATTGGCGACACAGGTATCTATCCGGCTGTCGATCCTCTTGACTCTACGTCCCGTATTATGGACCCTAATATTATCGGCACGGAGCATTACAATATCGCTCGTGGCGTACAAAAGATTCTCCAGGACTACAAGTCGCTTCAGGATATCATTGCCATCCTTGGTATGGACGAGCTGTCCGAAGAAGATAAGCTGACGGTCGCTCGTGCACGTAAAATCCAGAGATTCTTGTCCCAGCCATTCCAGGTAATAGAAATACGAACGCAACGTGCGCATCACTCTGAGCAATTATGTGTACCAAGTTACTCGCGTAGATGTATTTACATTGCTTGATAAATTATAGCTTTCGGTATAACTATCGTATTCTTCTAGGTCGCCGAAGTATTCACTGGTCACGCAGGCAAACTAGTACCATTACAAGAAACCATTAAAGGCTTCCAAAAGATCTTGGCTGGAGAATTAGATCATCTGCCGGAAGTAGCATTCTATATGGTTGGTCCAATTGAGGAAGTAGTAGCGAAAGCAGAATCGTTGGCCAAACAATAAATTAACTTACAGTCATCGTAAATGCGTCATTAAAGATTTATTTGATCGTTATGCGTTCGCAAAACCGTGACCTTCCAATGAAATTTACAATCTCGCTTGTCCTCTTCGACTTTTTCAGGATTTTTATCATATTGCTTCAAACGGTAGAAGTGAAAATTCTCATCAATTTCTCTTATAATCTATAACATATATACGATTATAAGAAATTAATACTTTGTAATTATAAGTCTATTATCATATAATAGACTAATCACAATATTACCGAATCGCTTCATGAACGACTTGAAAAGTCGCTTTGCCTCTTATGTTCCTCTTACCATAAAAACAATCGTTCAAAATTACAACTAAACACGTATTAAAACAAAATATAAACTGATCGGAATACATACTAGCACATTTTACTTCTGGTCTTCATAATTTCATCGATAATCATGTTATTAACGTATACCGTAGAATCAACGGTATATGTGTTAGACGTTAATAAAAGTTTTACAAAAACATATTATTCTTTTTTAAATTGCCACACGCGCGAATTGAGATAAACTTATACAATGCAATAAAGAATTTAATTAACATAATACTGTACATATAGAAACTTATAGTTGTTGGACCATACATATAATTAAATAAAGGAACATAAAACTATAAACGAGAAGAAAAATGACTGCAAGTCCAGTAAGAAGATTTGTACATTGTTAGTTGCCTTCATCAAAATCAATCATTGGTTTCGTCACTTTACATGCCTTTTTTAATACCTAGTAAAAAAAATGGTTGTAAATTTTTTTTATGTACATGCAGTTTCGTATATTTGAATATAATAAGACACCCTCGATTTAGTGAATGAATTAAACTCAGGTAATACAATCGTTATCATATAAAATAGAATGTTTACAAAACAGCGCGCATGTAAAATAAAAAATAGAATATTACCATAAAGTCTAAAATCCACTAAAACGAGATCCATGAAAATAAGAATTTATTGGGAACTCAACTTACAGCCCATTGTTTCATATTTAACGAGATGATTGTTTGAGCGCCTATCCTGTTACTGGATTCTCCACCTTGCTGACTCGTCTTGCGACATGGTTGTACAACGAGACCTCCATCATTATCTAAAACAATAATTATTACTAGAGATGCTCTTGAAAAGAAAAGAAAATATTAAAGAATTACCTTTACTTAATTTCACTACTCCGTCTTTAACAAGAAAGGATACATATAACAAATTTCTAATAGTTCTTCCGAAATCCTGAGGATGTATAATTAATTGAAAGAAATTAAGCGGTTCTTGCGTTTCCTTGCAATAACATACAATTAATTTTTTTATTTTTCGCATAGTTTGTTCTACACTGTCATCTTCCTTGGTATTCGTTTGTGACACTATTTTATCTGGCACTTTCATTTCTGCTTGTTGTGCTATTTTCCTTAGAGGTTTTTGCCTGTTTACTGTTTTCTTTTCTAAAGGCTCTAATATACCTATAGTAAAAATTTGAATTATCTGACTTCATTTTTCGATAGTAACAATTATGGCTATGACTTGATGTGTGTGTGTGTGTGCATATATATATATATATATATATATATATATATAATATATAAAGATTTTCTGTCAACTTTACATACACACACATACATATATATATATATATATATATATATATATATATATATATATATAT